AATCAGATGTATCACTAAGGTCAGTCTCTCAATGGCCAAGATCCATTTGGCATTATGCTAGGGTGACTCTTCTAAAGTTTGAGTCTGTCGTTTTCAAGATGTGTAGCACTAGGCAACTCATTTTACTTCTCTGTTATTGACCTATTTATCAAATACAAAGCATATTAGCACATACCTTGTAAGGATGGAACTATCATCTGGTAGTCCATAGTCTCTATTAAATGTATAATTGATAAAATTGACTTTTGGTTTCCCTTTTGTCATTTTATTCTTTACTACTTAGGATTAAACTGAGAGTTACCCCTGAGCTACATGTTCCTGCTTTTAAGAATACCTTTATTCATTCTGTGAACCTAGGTAATCTATTGAGAATACAATGTATTTTAACATATTAACATACACACACATACTTTTCCCCAGATTCACCCACTTTGTATCCTCTTATTTTTTTAACAACCCACTGAGTCTAATTTGTGTTTCTTCTTATACTACTGAATTATGATTAACTTGCTATGGACCACACCCTTATAGAAAAATGACTGCCCTACCCAGAAGCCATCAACTGTCCATAACTCCTTAGTTGAGGATAGGGGTTCATGGTCCCTGTCCTTTTCTGTGCGGGAATATTGGCTGGGTTGATGCTGTGTGGTTCTTGTTCAGATAATTACAGCCCCTGTGAGTTGATGAGCACTGCAATCCTGTCATGTCATGAAGAGAGTGTTCTTCTTTGGTCTCCCCAGACCACTAACTCACAAGTTTTCTGCCCCTTCTACAATAGTCCCTGGGTTTTGGATGATAGTGACATAGATGTCACCACATGGTGAAGATATAAGTCACATAGCACATTCTGAGGAGTAAAACTGAAAGCTTGGGGGTGGTTGAGAATTCCAAAGGAAAATGAATGACATGGTCCACTCAGAGGGCAATCCTTCTCATTAGGCGATGCAAGAGGAGGTGGATATGGGAAATACCTGGGAGAAAGGCAGACTAGCCAGAATAGAGTGAAATACAAGAATGGAGAGCTTTCAGCTATTACATTTTAGAGACTCTGGGCTTGATTTTCCTGGAAGACAAGGCAGTTAGAATGAGGGAGAAGTGAAGCTAGAGATCAACTGTGGGGGTACTAAAAGAACCAGACAGACTTGGACTTGAGAGAAGGCAGAGACCATTTTCATGGTCTCAAAGATTCTGCGTCCTGAGGAAAGGTGAGTCACAGTTCTCACCCTTTAGGAGAGAGCGTGTGACATAAAGATCTTATTATCTGACACCACCATTGCTGATGACCCCAGAAGCATTGGCTCCTCTCTCTTTTGTTTTTCTTTCTTAGAAATAAGAGGTATGGTTATTTGATACTGCCTGAGTGATATCAGTTTTGATTCCTGCCCCTCATTCAAAGAAAAAAATTATACCTTTGTCCCAGTGAAATCAAAGTTGAAAATATGTTACTAGGGAATCTTATAAATTTATACCGACACAAAATCTGAGTTATTTCTTTCTATATAAAAAACAGATCTCTTTCCTGAGGTAGATAAAATAACTGGCTGGGGTATTTCCTGGAAACTGACAGTCTTAAAGTTAAGCAGAACTTGAAAGGAAGAGAATGAAAATGCAAAAACAAAACAAGCAAAGGGAGAGAAGTTTGGGTTTTCACAGTGAAATAGTCTAGCTTTGGATTTTAGAAATGGATCACTCTTAGTTGTGGCCAGCAAAGTTTATGATAATGTTTTACTAAAGCACAGTAGAAATAATTAGGTTTCCATGTCACTTCAGACCCATTATGTACATAAACCTTAAAGTTACTTGGGATGACAGTTAAAGTGAAGTAGAAAAATCCCACATGCTGGCCTTTCACCCTCGACTCCATTATTACAGCATTAATGGATCTTGGTTCATAAAGCATTGTATATTCAGAGTAGCCTAGCAGAATGCTTTGTCACTGGAAGGTAGTCAATAACTGTATGTTGAATTCATGCAAATAACTTTATCGGGTTTTCTGATTGTCCTTAAAAGCCAAATAAATGATGGGAGAAGTAACTAGAATGCTGGCTGGTTGCCAAAGAAGCTTTAGAGGGTGGCAGTCATGTTCCCCCAAGTGGAAAGGATTTTGCACATGAGTTGGAGAGTAATGGTCTGAAGTTGACATTGGAGTGTGTGAGAATAATGCAACCTTTCTGGGGTGATAGAAGCAAGATGTGGGACAATGTGCAATCTCCAAATAAGGGAACTTCTTTATAAATGACATCTGTGGACAATACCTGTTTGTGAGGTAGAGCAATGTGACAATGAAAGAAAGACAAATTGGTGGAGAAAAGAGCACAGACTAGTACACAATGCAGAAATATTAAGCTACACAAAACAGGGATGTCCTATGATATTTTACTGAGGGATAAATCACTTATATGAGAAGCCAAGAAAGCCAAGAACCAAAAGTCCATATGCTGCTCTCCAGGTGGCAACCAGAACCCAAAAAGAAAGAGTCTCCTCCCCCTAGTTCTTTTATCCCCTGAACTTTCTACTTACCTGTGAACACACCCAAACAGACGTGGTCAGCACTACGGGTACGTAGATCTCTTCCTACAAGTACAGAAATTGGATAAATTAGGAAAGGCTGACAACTGGAGGGACTTGTGGTCTGTATCTTATTAGTAAGAGAAGTGACTCATACTATTACACAAAGTGGAAGTCAGTGCAAAAATTTGAGCATCAAGTACTTGATGACTCCAGATGTCTGTCTTTGCAAAGTCTACAGAGATAATAGCTGTTGCATGGAGCAACAGCAGGTGCAGGCAGCCATGCCAGCTGTTGTCTACAGCCAAGTCAGCTCTGAGAATATGACTCTGGACAGAATGGAAAAGAGTGAAGTATGACAGTGGCTGAAAATCCCACACTCAACTGCATGTCACACACTGCCCACCTAGATGTGGGCTGGAATAGACTGCTACTGACTGTCCACCTAGGCATGCTTTGGTGTAAGGCTACTTTTCAGTAACTGATTATTCAGTCAAACTGTTATTCAGGTTGGATTCATTTAATCCATTACTTTCTTGGCAGCCTGTGTGATAAGCATGTGTGGGCATGTGTGTAGGCTGGAAATGTTTCAGAAGACCAATAGGCCCTAAGTCAGTCAGAACAAGGTCATATTACAGTGGTTTATATACATTGGGTTATAAAGGAATGGGAGATGGGACCTTGGAAAGAGACTCCCTGAAGACCCAAATTGAAAGAGAAGATTTGCCTAATTTTTACTGGTTTATGGAAAATCTGATCTATAGCCACATTCTTATTTTTTTCAAGTGCCTATGTGGGGTTGTTTGTTTTATACCAGTAAAATGTGTGTAGATATGAGATAGTTATATACTTTTTCAGTGCAGGCTGTAATTAGCATTTTCATGAAAGCATTAGGCACTTGGAAGACCATCTCCTATATTACAGACCATTTAACTTCTGTGACCCCTGCTTTCCGATACAAGTAACCTCTTAGTCATTTTGACAACTAAGTCCATTCCCCTGCTGCCAGTGTCCTTCAGAAAGATCACACCACTTCTGGCTTATGTACAGTCTAGAGGGAAAAGCCACCTGGGGGAAATTTTCATTCTCCCTTGAGATTTCACTGAGCCCATATTTAAATAGCAGTGGTATTCTGAAGTGTTTTTCTTCCCACTCAGTAAAAAATGAAGATCATGAAGTCTGACTTCATTGTTCAATGTCCTAAATTGATGACAGACTCAGTGTGAAAATGGACAGTAACATTTCCGTGATGCTGTATAAACAGGACACTCTCTTTTCGCCCGAGTCTCCTCTGCATGAAGCTCCAGGTTGAGGCTATTCGCACTGCTCTGTCGCCCCTCCCCTATCTCGGGTCACCATCATCGCACATCCCTGTAGACATCTGCTACTACTGACCATGTTCACGGTCCTCTAGGGGAAGATTTTATTTTTTCAGTTACCTTGTATATTATAGACTTGGGTAGGAAAGTTCACTTCTATTTAATGTGCCTTTCCAACTCTCTAAAAGAAACTGAGCGCCTAGGAGACATGAGGAAAGAACAAAGATAAAGGAGCTAAAGGTAAGATGGAGGCTCTGCTCTATACTGGCTTCTAATTTGACTGTGCCTGGAAACCTTTCTGAGGTTGGAAATCCAAAGTCAAGAGAAATGAATTGGAAGAGAGAACATGAATGCCCGATGGAAGAACAGGGATGGAAGATGGGAAAGGGAGAGTTGAGCATGAAGTGTTACATTGTCAGTGGAGGTGTGCCTCCTTTCCATGACTGTTTGAACGAGGAGTGCAGTGTTAATCTCTGCAATTGCAGGAGGGGTGCTTTGGAGAACACTATACGGAGCTGGGGAGTGGGGAGGGAGTCATCCTCAAGAATTCACACATGTTCTTCTGCTTGTATTTCAACTCTTCTTTCCTGTTTGGATCTCCAGACATCTTTCAGTCTTCTTTTCCTATAGAATTCACTTTCTGTGGCCTTTTCCATCTTTAATTTGTCATCTTTGGCATGTGTGCTCCATTCACTCCCTGCACACTAAACATGCTTGTTACGTCTTCCATGACTTGACATGAACTTTCTCTCCACTCTTCTTGTCCCACTCTGATTGCTTCTCTATTTTCTGTTCTCTTCAGCCACATCCTACAGTTCCCTTCACTTTTGGAAATATTTCTTTGACTTATTTTTATATTCACTCATATCTTGATGTTATATCTTCATGTATATTATACTGGCCAGAAAAGAAGCATATAATGTATATGTATACATCATGTCTATTCCATGATCAGGTTGAATATCTTTTATTCAATCAATATGCTTAGTACCAGAAGCGTTTTGGATTTCAATAATTTATATATATATATATATATATCTTTGGAAATAGCTCCAAATTTAAACATGCACTTTGCCTAATTATACGTAAATGTAACACATAAATAGGATGATGTATTCTAGGTGAGTAGGAGGCTGCCCGACCCCTCACACTCTGTGTCTCTTCTCCTGGCAGGAGGATGAAGTGGTACTCCAGTGCATAGCAAACATTCATAAGGAACAGCGGAAGTTCTGCCTGGCAGCTGAGGGACTTGGGAACCGCCTGTGCTTCTTGGAACCCACCTCAGAAGCCAAGGTGAGATCAAGTGCCTGTTCTGTACCCTGTCTCGCTGACTTCCCATATAATAACTTCGGGTAAGCATTTCTTGGAGATGGTGACAAAGGAGGCATTTGAGATGGTGTACTTATTCTTCCAAGGGGAAGATCGGATTTAAAATATATGCCTCTGTCAGTCCAAGAAGCACTGACATCAGATCCCAGAGCTGATAAAAACAAAAGAGGGAAGGTGCTTTTGTCTATCAGAGTTCTCGAGAACACTGGAGGAGCCTGGAGCTGCCAGCACTGACTGAGTGGGGAATCTCTTGATACTTCCAGGATGCTGTCTTGACATTGTTAATTCCCTGTTCTGTGCTCTCAGCTGTCATTTTTTCTTTTTGTGCTACAGGGTCTCTTGTCTGTTTGAGCTTGTGTTTTACTATTAGCTTGCCATGGTTCTGATTAGGCTGAAGTTGTTTTAACTGTCTGCTGTGACCCAAGGGTAGTGAGGGCCATTTGCTCTGATACCTGGCATGCACGGAGACGTGTAATGTCATGTCTGTTGAGCTGAGCCTTCTCCACAACACATCCCAGCTGTGCCTGTACGTTCAGAATTCTTAAAGCACATTAAAGTCTGGTCAATACCTGCACTAGTCAGAGTTCTCCAGGGAAATAAAACAAGAAGCTCAAATGGATAGGTGAGGAGTTACAGAGATTACCTTAAACAAGCCATTCACAGTGATTCTGGGGTCCAGTGATCCTGAACTCCAGAGGTCATAGTTCAAGCTGCAGTCTGTAGCAGCAGAGATTCTTCCCCAGGAAGCCACAGGGGCAGTGAGTGGGGCACTGTAAGTCATGAGAGTCAATGACCTTTACTTAAGGTCAACTGGCTGCAAATGTTCATTCCAGCTAGGAAATGACCACATCACTTGATTAGATGGCTCAGAGAGTAAAGGTTCCTGACTAGACATGACAACCCAAGTTTGATCCCCAGGATCCATATGATGTAAAGGGCAGAACCAATTCCTGCAAATTGTCCTCCAATGGCATCCATAAGCCTCTTGCCTCAACACAGGAAAGTAAAAACAGGAGCATTTAGATTAAATAACTGTAACTATGAGGTAGCCAAGTTAACACATAGCTAGTTATTATATTTCCTAAGGCAAATTTTTCTCACAGGACCTAGTTTTAATGAAAAATAATGGTTTTCCCACCGACTGGCATACCATTTTCCACTGGCACACTTGAAATTTGACGAAATTCTGGAACACCAAGGGCAAGGACATCTCTCAGAGCTGTCTCGTTCACACCAGTGATTTGCCACCACATATAGGTAGCTGTTTTCTGAGGACAGACATCGGCCAGCACCTATAGGCCAGAGTCCTGTTAAGATAAATGACAGAGAAACGATGTAAAGGGGATTTCCGTCTTTTCAAAGTTCTTAAACTCGATTTCCTTGGGGCTTCCTCATATTTACTTTTGTCATTAAAAAGAGATTTTTCTTTTTATTCCCAATAGTTGAAATAATAGGAAAATTATCAGAATGGAAGCCAAGATGATAACTATCAATCGTTATCTTGTGGTGTGATCTCAGACCAGTCACTCAGCTTTATTTGCAATTTTTTTCTTCTTCCAAATCAAATGCAATGTGGTGTGGCACCAAGAGTGGTAATGAGTGACAGAGCAATGAAAAGTTACCAGACCCACTCTTCACAGTGGAACATGTGACAGTGATTCTCTACAGACTGTAATTGGGATATAGAGTTTGAATCCTGTCTCCACCACTTACTAGTCAATCCAAGACCTTGGGCACATTATCTGATCTTCCTGAGTTTAGTTTCCTCATGAGTTCAATGGGAGTTTCATTGTTACTTACCTTGTAAGATGGTCTCAAGATGAAATAGTTTAGTACTTGTTTACTACCTAATTGTTACACTGTCTTCTATAACACAATCAGTATTACTATAACTTAATAGTCAGTAAGACACTTAACTGGGAGTCAGTGTCTTAACCTATAGCTTGTGAATTAACTACAGTTCAGAAGTACCATGGAAGTTAAAGAGCAGCAATATGTACAAAACACACAGTACTTAAATCAATTAACAGTAGCTGGAATTGAAAATAACGCCAAGAATAGAATTTATATTAGTTTGTTTTCTGCTGGTATAGCAAATACCATGATAGAAAGTACCTATGGATGAGCTTATTTAGGTTTAAGGCTTCAGAGGGTGGAGATGCATCCCGAAAACAGCAGGCCTGGCAGCAGGAGCAGGAAGCTGAGCAGTCACGTCTTCAATCACGAACACAAGGCACAGTGTGAACTAGAGCTAAAAAGGCAAAGCAATTGACACTCAAAAGCTGCCCCAGTAATGTGCTTCCTTTAGCAAGGCTCAGCCTTCTAAAGGTTCCTCAACCAACCAAAACAGCAGCACCAGATCAGCTCTGGACCAAAGGATTCAATCATGAGCCTATGGGGTATGTTTCACCTCAGCATTGTTGCCCCCTTTGGAAGCACAAAGCCTGATTTTTTTGTGACAGGAAGAAAGTTTGTGAATGAGCCCCTTGACTTACAAAATTTAAGCCTTAAATTAAAATTCATTTAATTATGAAATGTCATAACTCTCTAGTACTATGTGATTCTCTAGTACATGTGACATATATAATAGTCAAACCTAAGTCAGACAAGAGGGTAAAGGTACACATTGTGACCTAAGAATGCTTGTATCCTTCAGATATAAAACTGAGCCAGATCATCCACAAATGTATTTGAGGTAAGAAAATATCCTCCCTCACTCCCACACAACTGAATAATTATTATTATCTTGATTTCATTCTATATTTGAGATAATAACTGAAGAATCATTGCGATACAGCATATTGTGCACCCCTCTCTTGTCAAAATTCTTCTCAACCTTGTCCCTGTCCATATGCTCTTGTTTTCAAAGCTGTACTCACAGCGCTTACTTTATGTATTTGTCTTTAATAGTTCAACTACTTATCAAATGCCAAGTAATTTTCACAGGTGTTTTTAAATCATATATGTGGTTTTGTTGGTATAGCTTCCTAGAATAAATATTCAGGATCAGAATTCACAGTATCTGGGGCATGATAATGAATAGGAATTGCTTCCCTATGAGGATACCTCACTTGTTATAGTGACATTCCCACTACAGTTGTGTCTTATGTGTGTAGTGTGAGGAAAATGCTCACTGAGTTTTGTTATGGAGAAACAGGGTCAACTTCATGGAAAAGATGGATATTCAGAATTTCCTGTCACCATTCTGGAGAGCAGCCTGATAGATAAGCCCATTTTCTCGGGACTTTATTCTATGTCTACCTCTCTGTCTGCCTACCCCTTCTTTTCCCTCAATAGGCCCTCTCATTCCTTGCCACCTAGTTTACCAAATACTTATGCTGTTTTAAAGATCTTGGAAGATAATGTAGGTCATGCAGTGAGGTAAGAGGCTGTGCTCCACAGAATGGCACTGAGCATGAAGCACAGACATCAAACACATTCTTATCTGCCACCCACAAGTCAGTCAGTGCCCTTGATGATTGCTAGTCCAGGATATTTTGAGCCAGTTGGCACTCAGAAGGATAAAACTAAGATGAACTCTGGGGAAAAGAAAGACTTCAGAGGAAAAAAAACTGAGAGGCTATTCAAAAGATAGTCTCAATGTATGAGTTCTGAAAAAAGAGAGACCGTGTGGAAGCAAAGGGTGAGATGGTAGAAAAATAAGGAAAAAGGTGTGAGAATATCAGCTTCACTGGTGACTGCTGCTTGCCATTGCCATAATGGTCTCCAAGTCTGGTGTATTGATCAATAGAAGCATAACCACTTAGCTGCCCTTTCAAATAAGCACAGACCCAGCACTTAAAGGGAACTTGCTTATAGGAATGACTCAGAATCATAACCAGAAACCAGGAAACAAGGAAAGGAAATGTTTCTTTATTTTCTTAAAAATACCAAATGTTTTGTTGACTGTAATTTTGAAGTAAAATGTTTTATTGGTTTATTGATTTGTCTACTCTTTCATACCATACTGTATCTATTGTGTTCCTTAGGGCCTCTTGAGTAATAATCTTTGATTCTACTTAGCATTCAAGTTTTCAAAAGCTTTGATTCTATTTTCTCGGAAGGACATAGGAAAAGAATTATGACTTACCTTCTAGGAACTATCAGTTACTACTTTTCTGTAGATACCCTTGCAGCAAAGCAGTTCAAGGAATAGCATATGAATATCCCACCCCAGATGACTCTTCAGGATACAAGAGACAAGATCCATAGCAGATCAGTATGAGGGCTACAGTGGTTTAAAAGCCTTTTTATCACAGATGTTAATATATCTTGTAGCAATTCCACACACATGATGGACAAGCCCTAAGTAGAGTCCCTACACTTGAGCAATTACAAAGATAGGGCCTCCCATAATATCATCTTCTCAGTCCGGATGCAGCCTGTAAATTAAGATCACTTCCATTCAAGCAGTTTCCCTGGCAGACCAGTTTTATCAGATGGCCACAGGAATATAAATGGAGAATTACCTGAACATCAAATGAATAAGAAGAAATTTCAAAGCCTTCCCATGGTGATCCTTGATAACAATTTTATAAATTATAAAGTTATATAAATACTTTCCTCTTTTCAGACTTGTTTAGAATCTTAATTCCTTTACTCCAATACCTTTCCATCTACAAGATCCCACATGCCTTAATAAAATATCAAAAAGGGAAAAGAATGTGGAAACTTTTTATTTTACTGATTTTATTAGTTAGAAAACTGAAATAAGTGATATTGAAGCAATTTAACCACACACTCTCAAAATTCAATTTCATGTATCTTGGTACTATGGGCTTTCGAAATATAAAACTTCCACATTTGGGAGATGGTCACTGATTATCTCACTGACTGCAATTAATATAAATGAAAACTTACAATTAGGGTCTAATTTTAAAATGGAAAATTTTGATAAATCTTATTGATATTAGTTTTACTTCTTGTTTGGGAAAGTAAAAATAGAATAGAATGGAATGGAACAG